TTCTCGTATCAACATTCTTTTCAAAGGTTTTAGTATGTTATCATTCCCAAATCTGAAGCTCAAGGAACTCAAATTCTCAACTTTGACCCAATCCTTTTTACTCAGAGTTGAAGTAGCATTTTAGCCAGTCTATTTCACAAGCATAACAAGGTGTAGAGCTGGATGAACACAGCAGGCCAAGCAGCATCAGAGGAGCAGGAAAGCTGACGTTTCAGGTGTAGACCCTTCTTCAGAAATGGGGGAGGGGAAGGGGATTCTGAAATAAATAGGGAGAGAGGGGGAGGTGGATAGAAGATGGATAAAGGAGAAGATAGGTGGAGAGGAGACAGATAGGTCAAAGAGGCGGGGGTGGAGCCAGTAAAGGTGAGTGTAGGTGGGGAGTTAGGGAGGGGATAGGTCAGTCCAGGGAGGACGGACAGGTCAAGGGGGCGGGATGAGGTTGGTAGGTAGGAGATGGGGGTGGGGCTTGAGGTGGGAGGAGTGGAGAGGTGGGAGGACAGGTTAGGGAGGCGGGGATGAGCTGGGCTGGTTTTGGGATGTGGTCGGGGGAGGGGAGATTTTGAAGCTTGTGAAGTCCCCGCCTCCCTAACCTGTCCTTCCTCCCACCTATCCCCTCCTCCCACCTCAAGCCCCACCCCCATCTCCTACCTACTAACCTCATCCCGCCTCCTTGACCTGTCCGTCCTCCCTGGACTGACCTATCCCCTCTCTAACTCCCCACCTACACTCACCTTTACTGGCTCCAACCCCGCCTCTTTGACCTGTCTGTCTCCTCTCCACTTATCTTCTCCTTTATCCATCTTCTATCCGGCTCCCCCTCTCTCCCTATTTATTTCAGAATCCCCTTCCCCTCCCCCATTTCTGAAGAAGGGTCTAGACCCGAAACGTCAGCTTTCCTGCTCCTCTGATGCTGCTTGTCCTGCTGTGTTCATCCAGCTCTACACCTTGTTATATCAGATTCTCCAGCGTCGGCAGTTCCTACTATCTCTATTTCATAGACAGTAGACTGTCCAATACACACAATTGAAACACTTTGCCACCAATGCATTCATCACTGGGCTGAAACGTCTTGTGACCAACACAATGGCTTTTGTTTGCTTTGTAACTGCATCTTCCTCTGAATCCTCCACTTCACATTTGGTTTTGTGTATGATAGCATTTAGGACAGTTCGTGGTCTTGTGATACTTTGAATTGAACCTGAAACATCAATTGACTACATTATGAACATTTCTGGGGTTCATTTACTTATTGCAACTCCAAAATCCACATCACTTATCAAAATTATCAACAGTACTTTTGAACTCATTTCTATTTGTTACAATTCTCCTTTTATACTGTTGACTACAACCCGTATCTAAATGGTTTTGCCAATTTGTTAACAGTGTGCCCTCCATTTTGTGTTGTACCATTGATTGCTGCCTTTGAGCTATGGATGCTGGTGGGAAGGAATGCTTTCCTTGGACATTTTCTTAGAGTTTCCAACATTTGTTCTAGCAGTGCGTATTCATCTACTAATTTAAATTGCATCAAAACTGCCCATTCTTGATATTTTGGCACAGTCCAATAACTTAATTGCCAGCACAAATTGGGGATTTTCCAAATGACATTTCTGCAGTCTAGCATACAACCTATTGAATTCCATGATGTAAACTTCCATAATACTGTCATCAGTCTCTTCAAATTTGTCAAAACCTGATCACACCTGACAAGCAGTCAACGATCAGTTTTCCTACAAATTTTATTGATGTGAGTTAACAATCTGTCCAAATTTTCATCTGTGTTAAAATTACCAGGCTCTAATTCCAAAATGAAACTCTGTATGGAAACAAAATTGCTCATATTGTCTTTGGCAAAGAAGTAACCCAGGTCCACATTATAACTTAATTCTTCCACGGGTTGTAAGACTCATTTTCAGAGAATACAGGTGGGTAATCATATGCAAACTTTACATTTTGATTCAACCATCCTATGCTACCAACATTTTACTCCAAATGATAACTGTCTTTAAACAGCATTGAAGCCCAAACTTTTACGAGGTATATTTCAGTTAACCACAGTCCATAAAACTCACCCTGTATTGATAACGAGATCGCTTTATTTAAACAACCAATTCAAACCCAATTACCTCTTAATTAGAATATCCATTATCTGTTCGCTCATTCCATGAGGTCCTAGGCATTTCTTCAAACCATATTAGATGATAACATGAACAGCACAGGAGAACAAAATACTTATTCATGATTGTATTCTGTTCCTACAACCCTGTAAAAGTATTAATGAAGCAGATCATTAACAGAGGCTTGAAACAATTGACAACATTTAACCTTGCGCAAATAAGTACTGAAACAGGGCTCTGTTGTGGCACAGTGGTAGTGTTCCCTACTCTTGAACCAAAAGGCCCAAGTTTAAGTCCCACCTGCTCCAGAGGTGTGTAATTACATCTCTGGACATGTTGATTGGAAAACTAAGTTAAATGAAACATTGACAAAAGGATCACTGGGGGGGGAAAAAGAACTTATTATAATGTCATAAAGATATAAATCAAGCAAACTCAACATTTCCAGTCCTAAAGAAGAGTAATACCCAAAACATTGACTTCGCCTTTCCTCCAAATGCTGCCTAGCTTGCTGTGTTCTTCCAGCCTCCTGTTTGTCAACATTGCTTTGCACCTGTGTTTACACTCACACAATGTTTTTATAAGAATCTGTGCTCTCAATTTTCCAAAAGCTTCCCAAATCCAGACTTTGGTTCATGACTCCTCATGGAGAAGCTGGCCCAACTCCATGAAATGGGCAGTGATTAGGAGATGGCAAATCTCACAATGGAGCCAGTCAATTCAAGTGTGGAGGGTGTGAACACACTACTTGCATGTTTATTGAGCATCAATAAAAACTGGTGGCAATGAGAATGGAATGGGAATCTCAGCAAATTTGCAAATTTTAAATGGCTTTGGAGCCATAGAATCATAGAGTCATATATCATGGAAACAGACCCTTTGGTCCAACTAGTCCACATTGACCATGTTCCCAAACTAAACTAGTCCCATCTGCCTGCATTCTGCCAATATCCCTCCAAACCTTTCCTATTCATGTATATCGAAATGTCCTTTAAATGTTGTAACTGTATCTGCACACCACTTCCTCTGGTAATTCATTGCACACACAAATCACTATATAAGAAAAAAGTTGCCCCTCATGTCTTTTTTAAATCTTTCTCCTCTCACCTTAAAAATATGCCCCCTAGTTTTAAACTTTGGGAAAAGACCTCTGCTGTTCACCTTATCTATGCCCCTCATGATTTAATAAACTTCTATAAGGTCACCCTTGAACTTCCTACACTCCAGTGAAAAAAGTCCCAGCCTATCCAGCCTCTCCTTATAACACAAACCCTCCATTCCTGGCAACATCCTGGTAAATCTTTTCTGAACCTGCCCAGTTTAATAACATCCTTGCCATAACAGGGCGACCACAACTGCACACAGTAGTCCAGGAGAAGCCTTACCAATGCCTTGTACAATCTCTCAAAGGGCTGGGCAATGACGGTAATTTTGCTGAATGCCTCCTTAACCATGCTATCTACATGTTGCAATATTCAAAGAATTATGTACCAGAACTCGTAGATCTCTCTGTTCTACAACATTACCCAGGGCCCTTCCATTAACTGTAACATGGCCTGCCCTTGTTTGTTTTATCAAAATGCAACACCTCACATTTGTTGAAATGAAACTCCGTCTGCCACTCCTCAGGCCATTGACCCAATTGATCAAGATCTCTTCATAATCCTAGATAACCTTCTTCACTATCCACTATACCACCAATTTTGGTGTCATCTGCAAAGTTATACTCCTACATTCTAATCAAAACCATTTATATGACAGTGGACCCAGTACCCACACCCGTGGAACACAGCTGGTTACAGGCCTCCACCACAGTCCCCCTTCTCAGCCCACTCTTCTACAGACTCTGTGGAAATCTGGCCCTTTCGATTTCTCTAGAGGGTGCATTGATAATATTCCACTAGAGTGAATGGGGACTAACTTCATAATTACTGTTATTCACGCTCACTGACAGCAAGAAGCTAATTTTAAATTTACTGGCTCTCAAACATTATGATCAAAACACCATAGATTTCAGATATATTTAGGTTTGTTTATTATTATTTCAGTTCTGTATTAACTCAATCATTATGATGTATTTCACTAACTGAAATTTTAAAATGAAAACACAAATACAGAACATTTACATTTTGTTGCCTGTGAGAAGACTTCAGCGTGATTGCTTGCTATGTAGCATTCCGCTTAACTTGTTACCAGATTCAGACTCACATCGGGAAAGGTTTGCGTTGCAAACTCCTTCCATATTACCTCCAATGCACTACCTATTACTGTCAACTTACTACATACTATTGCTAACTCCCTATCTATTATTGCCAAGCCACTATCTATCACCGCGAAACTGTGCAGGTGTAAACTCACTATGTGCTGCTAGAATGTGGCAACATTTTCCTGCAAACTCGTTCCTGTAAAGTTTTTGTTACCCTGTGCCTCTTGGAGAGGTAGCACACGGAACGGTGAGTGAAGCCGCTGATTGGCGGAGCCCAGAGGAACCCGGAGGTGCGAGACTCCCGGGGATCGTGAACTAGAGACAATGCAGTGGAGAGAGTGAGGGAGGGGAGGTGCAGGGGCTGCAGCGGAGAGGGTGAGGGAGGGGAGGTGCAGGGGCTGCAGCGGAGAGGGTGAGGGAGGGGAGGTGCAGGGGCTGCAGCGGAGAGGGTGAGGGAGGGGAGGTGCAGGGGCTGCAGCGGAGAGGGTGAGGGAGGGGAGGTGCAGGGGCTGCAGCGGAGAGGGTGAGGGAGGGGAGGTGCAGGGGCTGCAGCGGAGAG